GGTGACAAGGGTTTATATGTGTAATATGACTTTCACCAATGCTGTCAGAAGGGCGCATGGCGAAGCCATAACTACAGATTCACGACTTACCTTGGCTCATTGACGATGCCCTTTCAACCTATGTTCAACGAGGCGATACATTCCACGGTCTGATGCCAATTGCAAAATTAATGATCTTCAGCAGCATCTCAGAACATAAAAGATAAGTGTCTGGACCTGTGACGTCATCTAATTTACTCTAAGACCTTACTGTTGAGTTAACAGACACGTTGAGAGACATGTACAGAGCAAGCTCTGTCCCACCCGTGTCGTCTAGTATACTGGTGATACAAGGAAACAAGGGTTTATACGTGTAATATGACTTTCACCAATGCTATCAGAAGGGCGCATGGCGAAGCCATAACTACAGATTCACGACTTACCTTGGCTCATTGACGATGCCCTTTCAACCTATGTTCAACGAGGCGATATATTCCACGTTCTGATGCCAAAATTAATGATCTTCAGCAGCATCTCAGAACATAAAAGATAAGTGTCTGGACCTGTGACGTCATCTAATTTACTCTAAGACCTTACTGTTGAGTTAACAGACACATTGAGAGATATGTACAATCTTTCCCCACTGTAGTTAGTCTGTGTTTTTCTTTCATATCAGTTAAAGTACCTCAGGTTTCATGTGTTGGGAGAAAGAAAAAGCAAGCAAACATATTTGATACGAACGTGATCAGTGTCTTGGGACTGAAGGCACACCGGTAATGATGTACAACTGGTGGTTAAACGACACTACAGGGATTCATCCTGATATCTTGGTGCAAGTCTCATACCATCGGCGATAATGATATCGAGACCTCGTTTACCTGGAACAATAACTCATATTTTACCGATGGAGACCCGTGAAGATCCGGGTTAGAATTGATCTTCAGTAACCCATGCATGTCGTAAGAGACGACTTAGGGGATCGGGTGGTCAGACTCGCTTACTTTGCTGACACATGCTATTGCATTACAATTGCGTAGATCGGTGCTCATGCTGTTGATCACTGGATTGTCTGGTCCAGACTTGATTATTTACAGACCGCCGCCATATAAGCTTAAATACTTCTGTGTGCGGCGTAAAACTAAACTTACTCACTATTTTGCAGATGGTCTTTGACCACCGAATAAACGCAGATCGTATGTTAATCTGCTGTATACAGTTAGGCTAACGATTTTCTAGATCTCCCATTATGATTATCTTAATTCCTGTCACTCTACATTACCATACATGCATATACCTCGAACAATGTAAGGAGAGACTTAACATTCGTATCTGTAGTTGATTTATGTTGAAATCTCAAAGCTGATGTCAGATTTCTTTCCGCAGATGCAACAAACAAATGTATGTCACTAAACAAATAACAGTGTCAGTTCCAATAGAAGTAGCCAGACGAAGAACGGACAAACAACCCATACAATAATAGTGTCAGTTCCAATAGATGTAGCCAGACGAAGACCGGACAAACAACCCATACAATAATAGTGTCAGTTCCAATAGATGTAGCCAGACGAAGACCGGACAAACAACCCATACAATAACAGTGTCAGTTCCAATAGATGTAGCCAGACGAAGACCGGACAAACAACCCATACAATAACAGTGTCAGTTCCAATAGATGTAGCCAGACGAAGACCGGACAAACAACCCATACAATAACAGTGTCAGTTCCAATAGATGTAGCCAGACGAAGACCGGACAAACAACCCATACAATAACAGTGTCAGTTCCAATAGATGTAGCCAGACGAAGAACGGACAAACAACCCATACAATAATAGTGTCAGTTCCAATAGATGTAGCCAGACGAAGACCGGACAAACAACCCATACAATAACAGTGTCAGTTCAATAGATGTAGCCAGACGAAGACCGGACAAACAACCCATACAATAACAGTGTCAGTTCCAGTAGATGTAGCCAGACGAAGACCGGACAAACAACCCATACAATAATAGTGTCAGTTCCAATAGATGTAGCCAGACGAAGACCGGACAAACAACCCATACAATAACAGTGTCAGTTCAATAGATGTAGCCAGACGAAGAACGGACAAACAACCCTTACAATAACAGTTTCATGTCCAAAAGATGTAGCCAGACGAAGAACGGACAAACAACCCATACAATAACAGTGTCAGTTCCAATAGATGTAGCCAGACGAAGACCGGACAAACAACCCATACAATAACAGTGTCAGTTCAATAGATGTAGCCAGACGAAGACCGGACAAACAACCCATACAATAACAGTGTCAGTTCCAATAGATGTAGCCAGACGAAGACCGGACAAACAACCCATACAATAACAGTGTCAGTTCAAATAGATGTAGCCAGACGAAGACCGGACAAACAACCCATACAATAACAGTGTCAGTTCCAATAGATGTAGCCAGACGAAGAACCGGACAAACAACCCATACAATAACAGTGTCAGTTCCAATAGATGTAGCCAGACGAAGACCGGACAAACAACCCATACAATAACAGTGTCAGTTCAATAGATGTAGCCAGACGAAGAACGGACAAACAACCCATACAATAACAGTGTCAGTTCCAATAGATGTAGCCAGACGAAGAACGGACAAACAACCCATACAATAACAGTGTCAGTTCCAATAGATGTAGCCAGACGAAGACCGGACAAACAACCCATACAATAACAGTGTCAGTTCAATAGATGTAGCCAGACGAAGACCGGACAAACAACCCATACAATAACAGTGTGTCAGTTCCAATAGATGTAGCCAGACGAAGACCGGACAAACAACCCATACAATAACAGTGTCAGTTCAATAGATGTAGCCAGACGAAGACCGGACAAACAACCCATACAATAACAGTGTCAGTTCAAATAGATGTAGCCAGACGAAGACCGGACAAACAACCCATACAATAACAGTGTCAGTTCCAATAGATGTAGCCAGACGAAGACCGGACAAACAACCCATACAATAACAGTGTCAGTTCAATAGATGTAGCCAGACGAAGAACGGACAAACAACCCATACAATAATAGTTTGTTTGTTGTTTACGCCGCACTCAGCTATATTCCAGCTATATGGCAGTGGTCTGTAAATAATCAAGTCTGGACCAGACAATCATGTGATCAACAGCATGTGCATCGATCTACGCAATTGGGATACGATGACATGGGTCAATTAAGTCAGCGAGCCCGTTAGTCGCCTCTTGATATGACAAGCATGGGTTGCAAATTCTAACCCAGATCTTCACGAGTGCATACAATTATACAGAACGATTAAAGTAATCCGCTGATGATACATCGAAATTTGTTATTAATTTGGCTGAATTACAGTTTCTCAAACACACTTCTGTTGTTTAGAATTGATTGATCCCTGAATGCTAGAAATCATTTCCAAACGTAAGAAGTGAGAATAGCTGAGGCAATTATATGATCCTAAATCATCTCAGGGATCTCCGATCCCTGGACCTTCAACTGAGCTGACCCATGAAACGGCATTAATGAGCTTCACAGATCTTCACCTGCTGAACTCATCAGTACGTAAGTAATCCAGGCAATAAGAGAGCGTAAAAAGGGATGTTAGATGAACTGCTCAAGTAGATATATGTCAGTGAACCTTTGAACAGACAGCCGCGTATGTAGGAACTTGTGTCTCGAAACTCACATGCAAGCTTAAAATCCAATGGAATAGAAGCGACAAAACCCTTTCCACATTCATAAGAAATCTTTGCTGAAAGACGAGTCGATTGTACAGTTGTGAATATATGATGAGCATATTTTTGCTTCAGCAGTATTACATCTGTACGATGTTCTTTGTAAACAAATCGAGTCTGGACAAGACAATCCAGTGATTGTTACCATGCGATACGATGACAGAGCATGTGTTTATGAATCACTATGAAATAGTGATGATATCAGGTGTTCGCGAAAAGGTGAGCGTATCCTGCCCCACCGGCGGCACCCGTCATAAACATATGCAAAGTCCAGTCAATTGTTCAACTGAAATAATTGGGGATAAAATACTGAATGTATATCTAAACATAACTCCGTTGTTGTCACAAGCCCAAGATGGAACATTTGAACAGTGTGATTAATGATTGTACATAGTCACATAGAATGATGTTCTGATAACCCGAGAAGATATCCGACAGACGTTTTCTTTCAGTCGAGCCTGTGTGGCGTTTCATGATGTTGGGATACAGTATCATCCATCAATCCATGCCACCACTTCCCGGGCACCTGGCCAGAAGCATGACCTTCTATCAGAGGAGTTAACGGTCATGATACTCGCGTGATTTAGGATCATGAAGCATCACAAAAAACATGTATTTTTCGGCAAAATAGATAGGACGGTTTTCGCTACTTCGAAATCTTTAAAATCAAAATGCAACATGCAAGTTCAAATTTTATCTTCACCGTGTATTATTTTTGTCCTCAGTGCTGTACCTCGGATATCTAACGTTCCGCTGTAATTCTAATAAAAGTGTAAGAATCTAAATATATATTGTAATGATGTGGTATGTTTACAACGCCTCAAAGAGTGCGGCATATTTCAGAGATAACAGATTGAGCATGGCTTTATGAACAACGCATAATCTTCTCCGGCTTTCATGTCAAACCTCGGCTGCCAAGTTACCCTTTGGAATGAAACTAAATTCTAAAGGTAAGTGTGATGACATGCAAGGTTATTGCAATGGTATTGCGTGTATGCAGTGCTTATTGGATAGTATGTTTAATGTTTGAAATGAATAACAAAAACGACAAAAACAGTTCCAGAACCATTAGGTATCTCAGCCACTATATCATAAGTATGTGTCTGTGAATCACCATCAGATAGTTATGACAACAGGTGAAACTCTCTAAACGATGAAAACGTCCTTCCTCACGGTGCCGCTAGTAACAAACACATGAAAAGGGAAGTCAATAATTCCCCTAAAACACACACACGAAAACCTGTGCTGGTTTTAGGTACAGAGACGAGAAGTGCATGCCGATGAACATGGGATTTATTCCAGTTAATACAGCAGTCTCCTGAACACAAAAACTACAAAAAATAACTCAAACTCAATACAGCAGTGTTTGTTTTGTTGGCGCCTAGTTAATACTCATCCATATCACCTTTAATTAGTCTTCATTTGCGATCTTCAAAATTCGTGAGCCTCAGATTCATAGAAGCAAGCCTAGATGAAAGACGAACATATATACATGTCAGTAGAAATATATTCTGGTGTTGAGAAGAACTGCAAGCAGCCATTCTACAGTAAGCTAGCTGAAACTCCTTCTCATTAGCACGACACAACAGCAAAAGCTCTACTACACTGCAGCATATATGCTATAGAAACTCCAATAGGAAATATGATAGGCTGTATGGAGTACTGGAGCGGTGGGTGTGTATCCGTAACATAATCCTGTCTCAGTCGAGTGGAAAATTCGTTTACTCGCACAGGGATCCTTCAAATGGGGAAACACGGGGAGGAAGACACATTCACTATGAACACCAAATAGTGTCGCCCTTCTAACACGTATCTGGATTTAAACTCATCAAACTCAGTCTTCAACCTTGACCTCGACCTTGACCTTGGCACGGGAAATTACCACCAGGTCTTCTTCTTGAGCTGACATGAACGTAGGTCACGAATGACGTAACGTGATGGAACGTGACGTCTCATACATCAACGACTTCACTTTGTGGCCGTTCCACAAATGGACGATCTGAGGGGAAACAGGAGCGCTATTGGGGGTTCGAACTCGACCCGCTTGAAGTCAACCTTGGAGAACCCTGCGCTGTTGATGACCTCGTCGGTGTTGACAAGGAGTTTTATGCCGTCGAAGAGGAAGGGGAAGAAGGGAGCCAGAACACGCTGGACCACTCTCGCCTTGTCGCCTATCTTTCCAAACACGTTCTCGAGGAAGAAGAATTCACCTTCCTGGAAAGAGATAAACACGATTTAAGAAGATTGGAAATACGACAGACAATAAAATGTTGCTGACAAACGGTGACTGTAATTTTATTTTTTTCTGACCGCAGTATCAAAACCCTACCACGACATAATCTGGAGAAGAAGGGTTGATGGACCTGATACAATTTAGTAACCAACGTATTCACTGGGTGTGGTGTTCCCCTTAACATACAAAATGCCGTCCTATTCTATGCCACTCATTGTAAAATAACGGTGATATTTGCGGCGTGATAACCATCTGTGAAAGTAGGTCAAGGTCAAGGTCAAGGCCTGAAATATCTTGGCAATTAAATGGAACATGGCAGCTTCTGCTATTGGTGATTCATTACATGTACTTCGCAGAGCGTTATCTAAAGTCATAGGAGTTCTTTTAAATGTATTCGACGAATAAAGGGAAGTGCCATCATGAATTCAACAGTGTGTATTTGGTTTCAAAATGGAATTTAAACTCCTTTTCATGGCAGGCCATTTGATGCGTCTTCCGTTATATCAGTGGGTGGTGGTGGTGAGTCAAATTCTGTTATTTGTGTATTTACGTTTTCTTGCATAATACTCAGTGACACATTGCGTTCCCCATCTGATCCTGTAAACACAAGCGTTACCCTCCCTCCGAGAAACTACAGAGAAAACACAAAGATACACATTGCTCAAGCTTTTATAGGGACCCCCGATATAACGACGTGGTGTGTTAAACAACAAAGCCTATAGAGTGGCTGGGGTAATATAAAGATGGCGTGATAGATCTGTCGTTTCAGCACATTGCCTAGATGTGTTGGAAGCCGAGTGGAAATGCCACAGTACTGTACAAACTAGAAATATATACCCTTGGTATTAGACCAGCCTAAGCCTACGCCAACCGTATTGCATAATGGTGACCAGGTTGGTGTAGAACTTCACCACTAAAGCAGTGATATTCGTGGCGTGATAACCACCTGTGAAGGTGGGTCAAGGTCAAGGTCGGTGCCCAAAATACCTTGGCAAGTAACTGATATTAAATGGAAGATGGCAGCTTCTGCTATTGGTGATTTATTACATGTACTTCGCAGAACTTTTCGTAAAGTTATAAAAGGCTGTAACTGTTTGGAGCAATGATTTCACAAGAGTGTTGGCCATCTTTTCGTTATGCAGAGTTGGACTGCCAGAATCTTATGAGTTCGAATCCCGCATCTACGCTGATTTGTATGTTTGTGTTTCTCAAAGCCAGACACCTATTTGTGGACTTTGCGAAAGTGGTTAACGTTAATTATCTGCATCCTCGCGGGTTCTCCTCGAACCGTAAGCTAAATACAACCACCAACTCGCCAAGCTTTTGCCCCGAATATCCATTATACCATCCATGTATTTATATGCACTAAATAGAAATAGTTCATACGTACAATTCATAAACGGCTTCTACATGGGAAAAATAGTTTTATCTACATTTGCTAACATATACACTGTGTGTGTAGGTCGTGCCTGCATCGGAAGGGTAATGTACCTACGATAGAAGAGAAGACTTCACCCTATGCATGTAGATCACATGCATGTATGTCTATGAGAGCTTTAACTATGTCTACGTAGGGAAAATGATATTCACCCCGACAAGCCGTTCGGAATAACCATATATCAATGCAGGTATAGAGCATCCCCAGTCGCCGGAATTTGCTGAGCAGAGATACGTGCCTTTGGCGTGAACAAAAACTACATACAAGGTAACAGGTTTGAATTCCGTGTCCCTGACTACATTTCCAGGTTTGTCTTCAACATACGGTGGTTTCACCAAGATAAAGACCCGCATCACTTCATTTATGCCTCGGGGCGGTGGGGTAGCCTAGTGGTTAAAGCGTTCGCTCGTCACGCCGAAGACCCAGGTTCGATTCCCATCATGGGTACAACGCACACAAAAACAACCCAAACGCCAACACATTATATACACATATAGTCCAGGCTGCATCCTACTGTTCATTATATGGATGTATGGTAAGGATATTTAAGCACAATGTGAGATGAGTCATACCTATACCATCACAGGTAAAACGTTTAATGATGTCCCTAAACCTTAAGTCATCATGACATGCACCTACCGACACATTTCAGTCAAACTTGGTTTCTTTTGGAATACCAAATTATTTATGGAAAGCATGTTGAAGCATTTAACAAACGTGTCGGCAATACACCCAATATTCCTTTCCTTAGAACTGCAGGTGGCACATATATTGGATGAAACATAAGTAATTCCAATAATATTCATAGAATAATGACAGAGGAACCATACCAGCAGGACTTCCTCCGTATAACAATGTATACGTTAGTTCCAGCTGCCACTGGAGTGAAATGCTGATATTTAGACAGCAAACGACAGGCATTGTAGAAGACCTAGGGCGCCTGTGCACACATGTTTCCTCCCACTGTTGTGGCACGTGCATACAAACGCGCAACATGTGGAGATGAAATGTCAAACAGACAACTTTTTGATGAGGTTTCAATCAAGTTACAATATTGGCATGACGGTGGAGTAATACCGGCTCCGTTAACATCGCCCCTTAACTTCCTTTGGGTGTGTGTACAACTCACAAGTATATTTCATGCTTTGAACTAACTCCTTGATCAAATATGCACCTGACAAGAGATTAGGTGGTGTATAAGAAGTGTGCCTTGGAGATGAGTTTAACTGGTTGTGTGGCGTTTAAATGGACGTCAGATTACAAACGCTTCTTTGGATAATGTATTTTACTTCGTCAACCAGCACACATACTGTGTTGTTATTTCATAATTCCATGTTCAGTGATTTTCAGGGAGCATGTTATTTCGTGTAGAAGAATAGGTATTTTGATAACATGGCTATGCATTCAATATTTGTTCTTGCATGATCTATTTCCATATGTTCCTAAACTATATTTTATAGTTTTGTAGTTTATTAGCGTCAGTGGAACGTAGGCGTATTTGTTAAACAACATGATCAATTTCATATATGTTGTTCCAAAGTCTGAATGAGTCATGTGTATATTTTCAGGGAAAATGTGTCTGCTTTCATGTAAGATTATTTTGCGATATTGCACAAGCTATTTTCAATGTGATCCACCGTGACTTTATGCAATCTGTGGATATCTACATAACGCCATACACTTTTATTAATTTTGTGGATTCCATTTCACTTAAACGTTGTTATGGAGCCAAACGTCAGATCTGATCTTCGACCAGTGTGGTCCCATAAATATAAACGGAAATATACTCCTTTGTGAAATCGTCTTTGAATGGTTATCGTGAAGCCAAGACCAAACGAACGTCTTCTTTTAGATTCTACCATTATCAGGTTTCTACGCAATGTGGTTCTAATTAAAGATAAATGTCAAAAATTTAAGTATCGCAAAACATGGAATCAATGTCACAAGACTCCATACTAAGTGTATACCTATTTCCTTGAGCGCTGTGGGTAGTCTGATTGTTAAAGCGTTCGCTCGATTTACCGAAGACACAGGTCCGATTTCCCACATAGGTGCAATGTATAAAGCCCATTTCTAGTTTCCCCTGCGGTTTGTCACTGGGATATTCATAAAACGGCATAAATCCTCACTCACTCACTCAAAAATAACTTATATGGTTATAGATGCATTGATCAGTTTTATAACAGCCACCTTTCCCACCTTTCCCACCTTTCTCTCCACCCACCCACCACACGGGAAAATGTATGATTAGTAACAGCTTTTTGCTCAATATTAATTTAAACTTATATCTACAAACCAGAGCCCTATCATGGTGCTATATGAACAGGTCCTGCCAAGACATTAGAAATAGCGGACGTAAATAAAAACGCCATATCCTAAACGTACAAGACTTTACATTCACTTCTTTCGTTCGGAATATTCCACGAAACTAACGCAGTGATGGTACAAGAATCTGAGGAGGAAAGATGAGAATGTTGTATATAAGAAATGTCGGTTCAAGTACAGAGACTTGATGGATGAAAGTTCTCATGGTCTCTGGAAACGGTAATGATCCGAGTCTTGACACACCCAGCTGCAATCATTTAAGTTAAATATAGATGAAACTTGCAGCTGCCAACGGGTTATTTACTTACTGATAAATTTGGATGAACACGATGATTAATTTTACATCAGATAAATCAATAAATGCTTGAATCAAAATACATCCACCTAGAAAAATAAATACGTGTTATGAAGGAAAATATATTATTTTAATGTCCTGTTCAAAACGAACAACTTACAATGACATACATAGATAACGATAGTATTGCTACTGGGGGTATGCATTGCAGGAGAGAGTTAATGAATACCGGACACAAGAGTTGGTCCGGAGTCAATGACACCGTGTCAGCTGAGTGAAGGTAAGGATGGCTGATGAAGGTGGATGATTCTTAATAAGACATCAGCTACCGTAACGTCACTGACACCATGACACCAGGCGTCGTTATCGACACTGGCAGCCAATCACTAGTGCATAGAAATACGACGACAGGGTGTAGGCGAAGGAGCAGGAATTAGCTCTTAAAAGTCTTATAAGGAATAAAAAGAGGTCATCCATAAAAAACGTGCCATGTATTTATGTTCGTCTAACTTCTAAATGCCTTACAAGAGCTACTGTAAAGTCAATGACACAATGACACCAGGCGCCGGTTAATGACACTGGCATTCGATCACTACAGTAAAGAGTGAGTAAGTGAGTTTTGTTTTACGCCGCCCTCAGCAATATTCCAGCTATAGGGCGGCGGTGTGTAAATAATCGAGTCTGGACCATACAATCCAATGATCAACAACATGAGCATCGATCTGCGCAGTTGGGAACCGATGACATGTGTCAACCAAGTCAGCCAGCCGATCCCTTTAGTCGCCTCGTACGACAAGCATGGGTTACTGAAGATCAGTATTCTAACCCTGGCCTTCACGGGTAAGTAAAGAATTACGACAGCAGGCTACTGTAAAGACGACACCACAAACCAGACTTAGTCAAACAACTAAGACAACTGAATG